TTCAGGAGCATTTTCTATTACCAAGGGCTATTAGCAGATGTATTAGCCAAGGTTCTCTAAAGGAACAAAACTGGTTAAATGAACATATATTACAAAAGATATTTATTACACTGGTTTAGACAATATGGTCTGGGTAGTCCAACAATGGTTGTCTATATGCTGGATAGGCTGAAAACTTCATAGAGGTTCAGTGCATGGGGCTGGATAGCTCATCAGTCTCATCTTAGAATGAAGGCCTAGAGGTTTCCTGGAGCCACTGGTCTTCAGTTCAGTTTTGAAAGCTGCCTTACTTTTCTATTGCTGCAATAAAACACCATGACAGAGGCAAGTTACAAAAGAAAGTGTTTAATAAGGCTTATGGCTTCAGACACTTAGAGTCCATGATGGTGGAGCAAAAGCATGGCGGCAGGAACAGCTGAGAACTGACATCTTGATCCACAAGTAAGAGGCAGAAGGAACACTGGGAATTAAGCAAGTCTTTTGAAACCTCAGGCCCACCACCAGTGACACACCTTCTCCAACAAGGCCACATCTCCTAATCCTTCCCAAACACTTCCATCAACTGGGGACCAAGTTCTTACACATATGTGCTTTACAGGGGCCATTCTCATTCAAACCACCACAAAGACTAAAGAAGTTGGGTTCCAGTGTCAGCCAACGGAGGGTAGTAGCAGCAGCAGTAACAACAAGAGTAGATGAATTCACAAGGCAAAAATAGAACCTCTTTTACCCCAGACCTCTTCATACATTGCTAAAGAGTGCCGCCCTGAAGCCTTCTACCCATATACCAACCCAACCAACACACCACACACCCATCATCTGCCCCTACAGTTAATCCTTCCAAAAAGTACTCTCACACACTTGCCCAGAGGCATGTCTCTTAGTAGATTACAAATTAATTCAAGTTGATAACCAAGATTAATCATCACAATAGGGATAATAGAAACACTATATTTTCCTAAAGGCATTTTAACTTCACTAATTATCTGAGGGTTTTCAGCTTCACAAATAGTCATGGTGGTGATAGTCAAGAACAGCATAAAATTTCACAACACTAGAATATATCTATGTTAGGCCAGCATATGACCAGATCTAATTAACCAGACTATAACCAGGTCTAAAAACCTGCATAAATAATGACTGCACTACTGTTTATAAATGATCAGAGCTAACAATATAAGAATGATTAGATGATTCACATACTGTTACCAGAGTTGTTAGGGTCATAGCCAGGCCAACAAGTCACACTGGGCCACCTGTCCTCAATAAGCCAATTAAAAACAAAACGAGGTTGGAGAAATGACTCAATAATTAAGAATGTGGACAGCTCTTGCAGAGGACCAAAATTTGGTTCCCAGGACCCATGTCAGGCTGTTCACAATTGCCTGTAACTCTAGCTCCAGGGGATCTGAAGCATTTGGCCCCCATGGGCACCTGCATTCACATGCACATACCCATGCACAGACACACTTACATACACATACATGCACACATATGTCCACATTTTTAAAAAATAAAAATAAATTAGAATTAAGAAAATAAAAAAGGTACAATGGTAAAAACAAGAAAGGGGTGGTTCTTCAGTACGACCGTATTAGAAAGAAGAAGGTCCGGTGCCACACCACCCACCAGGTCCATCTTTCCACATGATTCAGGTTTAAGCAGAGAGCCAGAGGTAGGTATGCAGAATGAAGCAGTCCTGGTCAAGGTCACCCATCAACATGGTCCCTGCTCCAGCCTCTCCTTTACAGCAGCATGACAGGTTGTCAGAACTGTGTGAAGTCTCTTTCCAGGAGAAAACCTCTCCTTCTGGTAGAAAAACAAGCCAGTCTTTTCCTTCTCCCAGCATAACATTCCTTAGGAAATTCCTATGTCCTGGAATCCATTGTTTCCATAGTCTGACAGCCAAGGAAGTGGGGGCATAGTGTCTCTAGAATATCTTCATTCCTTCCAGGACAGCCAAACAACTGGAATATTTCCCAACCACTAAAAATTATGTTTGCAAAGGAAATGAAAACACAATATAACATTAAAAGAGACATGGTACACAAAACTATACATACACGGCTGTGAGTTCATTTAAAGAAAAAAGAAACCAAGAGAGAAACAAAGTCTATAAGGAATTATGAAACTGATCAAAATGTAAAAATTGATCTCTAAATAGCAGTGTTAACTGTCAACTTGACAGAACCTAGAACCACCTGGGAGATGACCCTCTGGGCACATGCGGGGGTAATCTCGACTATATTAATTGAGAAGGGAAACCCTGCCCACTGTGGGTGGCACCATTCCCTAGATGGTGTCCCAAACTATATAAACCAGAGAAAGCAAACTGGAATTCATTCAGCTCTCTCTGTCGACCAGCTACTTCAAGCTCCTGCCATCCAGACTCCCCACCAGGATGGACCCTTGAACTGTGAACCAGAAAAAAACCTTTTCTCCTTCTGTTGCTTTTATCAATTTTTTTCTTTGACAGTTTCATATATGTACATAATAAATTTCAGTAATTTTCATACCCTATTATATCCTTTCTAATCCCCCTTTCCCCAATGAAACCTTTTTTCTTCCCAAGAAATTCCTCTGCTATTTCCATGTCTTTTTCTGTGTGACCCACTGCGTTTAACTGGGTTGTTTGTGAGACTGTGAGTAGGAGGTCATTTACTGGAGCACGGGTAGCTTCTTAGGAATTACATCACTGAGAAAAGTGACTATTGTAGAATATTTTAAGGTGTGTTACTTTTGTCTATGTTGCACTTGCTTAACTCTGTGAAGCTGTGTTACTGTGCCTGTCTAAAACACATAATGGTTTAATAAAAAACTGAACGGCCAACAGCAAGGCAGGAGAAAGAATAGGTGGGGCTGGGAGGCAGAGAGAATATAGAAGGAGAAATCTGGGAGGAAGAAAAGGAAGAAGCAGCCAGAGAAGGAGGAGAACTCCAGAGGCTAGCTACTCAGCTACACAGAAAGCCACAGAGTAAGAGTTAAGATTTACAGAAGTAAAAGAATGGGAAAAGCCCAGAGGCAAAAGATAGACGGGACAATTTAAGTTAAGAAAAGCTGGCAAGAAACAAGTCAAGCTAAGGCCTGACATTTACAAGTAAGAATAAGCCTCCGTGTGCGATTTATTTGGGTACTGGGTGGTAGGAAGACCAAAGACCAAACACACAACAAGTGACACCTGTTCCCCTAGCCACCATTAACTGCTCAAAGTCCCTAAGGAAGGGTGGGGCCTCATGTGGAAAGATTGACAGGCCCAATCATATTTATCTCTGTGCAGGTAATCACAGTGATTGTGAGTTCAAGGGTGTAACAGCCATTCATTCCACACACCTCCCCATCCTCTGGCTTTTCCGTTCTTTTTGATTTTCTCAGAAGGGGACTCAATGTTCCCTTGAGTCTTGGAGGGTAACACAGAGGACCTGTTTACAGACAAGCATTCCACCGTCCTTTATTCTCGGCAATTCAACCAGTTATGAGTCTGCATTAACCACTGCCGTAAGATGCTTCTCCGACAAAGGCTAAGAGCAACACTAATCTTTGGATATAAACATGTGTATTTAGAAAGCAGGGTGACCAGGAGTTGGTGTAGAAAAAACACAGTGGTTCCCCTGAGGTCCTATGATCTCCCTACCTCCAACTCTTGAACAGGTTTATAGTACCAGACAAGATTTCTCTTCTTTGAGCAGGCCTAAAACCCAATCAGGAAGCAGTTAGTTACCCCTATAACATTCATGAGATCATTGCTCCCATGGCTCTATCTTGCCTGGCCAGTCGTTTTTTATAGCTCTCAAGGTTCACAGCTGAGATGACCTCCTCCCCAGGAGCCTGCCTCTCACCTTCCAGCCCTATGAAAGCTAGACAGCAGGGGGCATGTTCCCAGGTCAGTACCAGCACATTCCTCCATGTTCTGTGACCAAGGAGTGTGCTATCTTCAGCAATACTCTTACTATCTATTTCTAGTAGACACAGCAATGGCAATCGTTTGGGGAGGGGCGGGGTCTCCATTGGGGCCTCCCTTGGTCAATATTTTGTTTGTTTTTTGTTGTTGTTGTTGTTGTTGTTTTTGAAACAGGGTTTCTTTGTGTAGTTTTGGTGCCTGTCCTGGATCTTGTTCTGTAGACCAGATTGGTCTCAAATTCACAGAGATCCGCCTGGCTCTGCCTCCCTAGTGCTGGGATTAAAGGTGTGCTCTACTGCCTCCCGGCTGGTCAAAGTATTTTATCACGGCAATAAGAAAAGAAACTAAGAGCGGGATTATAAGAAATGTTTATTTTCTTTCAGAAGTTTGTCTGTATCACCTAAATTTCCTGAAACAAATATATTCTCAAAATAATTAAGACTGTCATTTTTTAGAATGTCATGTGCGTGGGCATGGGCGTGTGTGTGTGTATGTGTGTGTGTGTGTACATGATATGGGGCATGTGTGCCACAGAACACCTGTAGAGGTCAGAAGACAACTTTCCAGAGTGGCTGTCTCCTTGTGCTTTTATATCAGTTCCGAAAAATTAACTCAGAGTGATGGCTTGTGTCCAGCTCATAAATGTCATTTTTAAACTCCCATACCAAATTTTCTATTTATTTATTATGGTTGGGGTCACCACAACATGAGGAACTGATATATATATGAACGTGCTGGACATGATAGTGAACATCTTTTATCTCAGCACTCAAAAAGCAGAGACAGGGAGATCTCTGTGAGTTCAAGGCCAGCTTGGTCTACATAGCAAGTTCCAGGCTAAGCAAGGGCTACACAGTGAGATTTGCAACCTCAAGAATTTCCTACAAAAGAGAAGAAACTCAAGTTGCTTTTGGTTATGATGTTTTATCACAGCAATAGAAACCCAAAGACATCTATTACATTATTCTCAGTAATATAAAAATTATTGCTAGATAGTAAATTGGATCTGACAGTAAGAAGAAATTAAAAAGGCTAGTAAAATTAATCATTAGTACTAGCACTTATTCACATCAAACTAACTGTGGATAAAACATACACATACCATCATTATTTTTGTCCAGACTCTTAAATGCCAGTTTCATTTTCTTCTCATGGTCTTGAAGGTACTGCACAAATTCTTCAAAATCCAGTGCTTGATCAGCATTGGAATCTGCATTTTGAAAAATTTCCTACAAGAGAAGAAACGCATTGTAACAATCATATGTAAAGTCACTACACCATGTTAACATTGGCACATTTCACTCATACTATTTATGGTATCTTTAAGTGTCCATTACCTAGTTTTTAAATCATTAGTGTAAGCCTAAACACATTAAATGATTCAAATATTTTCAATTCATGCAGTTATGAAGTCAACAGCCATCACATCATCTCAAATAAATGTGAATTTATGATTAAATATTTACTTCAGGTACACACACCTCATGGGCTTAAAGATATTAAGGTATAAAGCCTTTGCTATCAGAGACAAAAAAAATCTGTCTACTAAATGTGATAAATATTAAATTCTAGTACGTTCCTCAGATTAATAGTTTGAGACTAGCCTTGTAAAGTAAGCATGTACGTTCAAGTCTAAGTCATTAAGCTTTTTAAAGTAAAAAAGTTAACATTATAGGGCTGGATAGATGGCTCAATAGTTAAGAACACTTGCTGCTCTTCCAGGAGACCTGGGTTCAGTACCCAGCACCCACATGGTAGCTGTAATTCCAGTTCCAAAGTATCTAGCACCCTCTCTGGACTCCACAGGCACCAGACACAAATACAGTACACTTACATAAATACGTACAAAACACTTATACTCCTAAATATAAATAAATCTTTCAAAAACAATAATATTTTTAAAAAATGTATATTCACATAAGACTCTTACTACACTGACCATGTTAATATTCATTTTGTACCATCAATGTCTAGCATAAAATATGAAATATAAAGGCCTTTAATAGATATCTCACACTCAGTATTTATTGAGTTTGAAAATAAATGCTATAAGCTGAAAAACTAGATCACAGTGCACAACACACACTGAACACTGCACACATCATACACTGTACAGCACATAATACATATCACACTGCACACTGTCCAGCACATACTGCACAGTATACACTGAGCACTGCATACACCACATACTGCATGCCACACATTGAATACCACATACTGCATATCACACACACTGCACATTGGACACACTATACACTGCATACTGTATACTGCACACTATACACCACACACTGCACATTGAATACCACATACTGCACATCACACACTGAACACACACCACACACTGCACATTGCACACACTGCACATTGGACACAGTGCATACTGTATACTGCATACTGTACACCACACACTGCACATTGAAGACCACACACTGCACATTGAAGACCACACACTGCGCATCACACACACTGCACATTGGACACACTGTACACTGCATACTGTATATTGCCCACTGTACATCACACACTGCACATTGCACACACTGCACGTCACACACACCATACACTGCGTATTGCACACAACCCACTGCTGGGAATAAAAAGACAAAAAGTTACAGTTTCTAGTATGAAGCAAATTATAGATACTAAAGATGACTTACATAACCAAAGGCAATATGTTAGGTGAAATAATGCAAGGAATTCAAGGTACAGTAAGCTTGGAGATACTAAATGAAATGAAAATACTGAAAGACTCCTGTGAGCCTTCATAGTAGAAGACTGCTTGAGCTGAGATTCACAAGGAAAAACATTTGCTAAGCAGATAAATAGGAGTCAACATTTCTATAATATGTGAAATATTTGCATGGAGATAGAACAGATGTTAGTTATAAAAATATAGTAATACTAATGGTGATAATAGCCATCAAAATATATTGAGCATTTAGTCCTAAGCAAGTTATGGATATAAGTTCATTTCATCTCTATCCTGCTGTGGAATAATCCTTCTGTACACTTTAAATATGTCAACTGTGATTCATTAATAAATAACTTGACTGGCCAATAGCTTAACAGGATAAGGTTTGGTGGGAGAGCCAAACTGAGAATGCTGGGAGGAAGAAGGGCAGAGGTGTCATCAGCAGAGACAGAGAGAAGCAAAATGGGCATGCTGTACTGAGAAAAGATACCAAGCCACATGGCAAAGTGTAGATAAAAATATGGGTTAATTGAAAATATAAGAGTTAGCTAATAACAAGCCTGAGCTATTGGCCAGGCATTTGAAATTAATATGAAGACTTTGAGTGGTTATTAAAGAGCAGCTTCCAGCTCAGGAAAACTCCACCTATACTATCCAATTTGCTAAAAATGAAAATGAAAGGAAGAAAAGATAAAAAAAAAAAAGAGGGGGAGAAATGCTACAAAAATTATCTCAAATTAATGGTTCAGGTTGGTGTTTTCCAGTAAGTAGGACATATATCATGCTCATATGATGTCTTAGTTAGGGTTTCTATTATTATGAAGAGACATCATAACCTCAGCAATTCTTATAAAGGAGAAACATTTAATTGGGGTGGCTTACATTTTCAGAGGTTTAGTCCATTACCATCATGTTGCAACATAGTGTCATGCAGGCAGACATGGTGCTGGAGAAGGAACTGAGAATTCTACATCTTGATCCAAAGGCAGCAAGAAGACTGAGTCTACACTGACTGTAGCTTGAGCATAGGAGACCTGAAAGCCCACCCTGACAGTGACATACTTCCTTCAACAAGGCCACACACACCTACTCCAACAAAGCTATACCTCCTAATAGTGCTACTCCCTTTAGGGGACATTTTGTTTCAAACCACCACACATGACAACAGTATTAAATCACAGTTTGAGAAAATTAGTCTTTGTTAGCAAGAGATTCCACAGAGTCATTGCATCTGGCTTGAACTCTGGAGTGCCAGCACCTAGGTTTTGAACTACCTTTTGTTTACAGTCAGGGATTCTTATCTGAGTTCTTCCTGAAGGATTTCAGAGCCTTTGCAAAACTTAGTCTTAGGACCTGGCAAACCAGGTGCTCTCGTGGCTGAGAACTGCTTAGGCAAATGGTTCCTTCAAACAACTCCAGGTAAGAAGTTTTGGTATGTGGAAACTGACTTGGAATTGACTAGGAATTTGGAAATTGACTAGGAATAATCTGTGTAAAAATAAAAGGAGGCTTTTGCAAAGCTGCAAGTCTCAGTCCATCAGAAGTTGGACGTCCCTATTGCAGAGAGCCTAAAATTCATCTTGGAGTGACCCTTCTTCAATGGACCTGAGCAAAACAGAACACCAATGTTCAAGTATCATTCACTCTGACTATATCATGGGAAATGTCTGTATTGTTCTAACATGCCTGAAAACTTACCAACTTCTTACAGAAAAATATAGCAGAGTAGAAGTCTCAACTTCACAGTCAATACAGTAAAGCATTTAAACAAAATTTTAAAATACAACTTTTAAAATGTTCATTTTATGCTTATTTATAATCTACTCATTTTCTACCTATGGCAGAAATATAAAGTTTTATTTTCAAAATAAATCTTTGAGAATGATATTAACAATATCACAGAATAAAAAGTCTTGGGTTCCTTTCCCCCACATGCACACATACCAGAAAGCCTAACTATTGACCACACACACCAGAACATCTTTTTGAAACCCCTAAGATTTAGAATCAAGCCAAAAACAGCTACATAATTGGCAGAAGTGAATTGTAAGAGCAAAAACAAGTCTCCCTTCAAGCATGATGCCTCTCCCAATTCATTGAAATCAGAACAATGTGGTGATATTGTGTCCCCCAATATATCTGAACAGAATAGCCATAAGATATACATAGAGGCCAGGAAATGGTGGCACACATACCTTTAATCCAAGCATTCCAGAGGCAGAGATCCATCCAGGCCAGGCCACAAACAGTGGCAGCGAGACCATGGAGGTGGCAGCTGCTGCTGCTTCATGTTACTGCTTGTTTCTCATTGTGTTGATGGCGGCGGAGATGCTGTTACTGGGGATGAAAGGTTTAGCACTGCTTGTTCAGAGAACAATCGCCAGGGCCATCGTGTTACAAGAAAGCATTGGCAAAGGTCAATTTGGAGAGGTTTGGCGAGGCAAGTGGCGGGGAGAAGTTGCTGTGAAGATATTCTCTTCCAGGGAAGAACATTCATGATTCAGAGAGGCAGAGATTTATCAGACTGTGATTGCTCCAAACCACAAAGGAGGCACAAAAAAAAGAAGATGAAAGAAAGAAAGAAAAGAGAATAAAAAAGAAGAGAAAAGAAAAACAATTCTGCAGGGAACCATGACCATGCCTGACAGCCACTTTGAAATCTTCAAAAGGTGACCGAATCCCACAATGACTATTCAACATGGACTATGATAAAGCCATTAATCACCCATTGGTGATTAATACCACCCAAAGATCGGCTTTGGACTACAAACTGCTCAGGACAATTTCAAGATGGCTAGCTGAGATGATCCAGATTCACAGACTATTCAAACAAGGACTTGTGACAAGCCCTGCATTTTCCCATTATGCTGAGACTGGACAACACATGATACCGCTACCTCTCCCAGGACTTGACAATTAACCCAAAAATTTTCTTTTCAGGATCCCCCAAAGATTTCTTCACCCCCATAAAGCAGGAAGTAATTTTAAGAAAATTAAACTCACATTCCCAAGAGGTGGGGTGGGTGGTTTTTGTTTGTTTAATGAGTTATGGATATTGTCATTGTTTACAATGGTTGGTTACAAGATGTTAACTGTTAATGGTCAGGAAAAAAGCTAAACAAGGAGATTAGATTCAGGGTTCTTGTTTAAAAAAGAAAGAAAAAGAAAAGAAAAAAAAGAGGATATATGCTGTGGGATGTTCTGTATGTCAAATGTGTTGCTGATTGGTCAATAAATAAATCACTGATTGGCCATTGGCTAGACAGGAAGTATAGGCGGGACAAGGAGGAGAATAAAGCTGGGAAGTGGAAGGCTGAGTCAGAGAGACACTGCCAGCTGCCATGATGAGAAACAGCATGTGAAGATGCCGGTAAGCCACGAGCCTTGTGGCAAGGTATAGATTAATGGAAATGGATTAATTTAAGCTGTAAAAACAGTTAACAAGAAGCCTGCCACGGCCATACAGTTTGTAACCAATATAAGTCTCTGTGTTTACTTGGTCGGGTCTGAGCGGTTGTGGGACTGGCAGGTGAGAGAGATTTGTCCTGACTGTGGGCCAGGCAGGAAAACTCAAGCTACAGATATAGATATGAGGTACATCATTGAATCTACTCTGAAAAAAACATATAGAAATAATAGGATAAAAAGGTAGATTTTTGAATCTACTCAGAAGAGAAAAAAGAGAGAATATGGATATGATAAAAAAGGTAGATTATTGAATCTACTTTTAAAAGAAACTACTTGTTTTAAATATTTTACATTGGATTGGATTTTTGTATATTGTATACAATTTTGGATTGGACTCACCAAAATAGGATAAATAGTGAAATGTTTTGTCTGAATTTGCCAAATGTTAATGGACTGGACATTGTTAATATATATAATGGAGTTTTGTCTGAATCTGTCAAATGTTAATGGACTAGACATTGTTAATATAATTCTTGACTGTATATATTGTATATACTTATTGGATATAGTTATATGCTTCTTTTATTATCTTAGACAAAAAAGGGGGAAATGTGGTGATATTGTGTCCCCCAATATATTGTGTATCCTAATAAACTTATCTGGGGGTCAGAGAACAGAATAGCCATTAGATATACATAGAGGCCAGGAAATGGTGGCACACATACCTTTAATCCTAGCATTCCAGAGGCAGAGATCCATCCAGATCTCTGTGAGTTCAAAGCCACACTGGAAATGGCCAGGCATGATGACACACACCTTTAATCGCAGGAAGTGATGGCAGGAAGCAGAAAGGTATATAAGGCCTGAGGACCAGGAACTAGAGCCTTTTTAAGCTTTTAGCTTTTAGCAGTTCAGCTGAGATCCATTCAGATGAGGATTCAGAGGCTTCCAGTTTGAGGAAACAAGATCAGCTGAGGAGTTGACAAGGTGAGGTTGTATGTGGTTTGTTCTGTCTCTCTGATCTTTCAGAATTCACCCCAATACCTGGCCCTGGGTTTGTTTTTATTAATAAGACCTTTTAAGATTCATCTACAGTACAAGGCCAGATAGACTCTCTTCATGATCAAGTTCCTACAAGACAAAAGACAACCAGAGGTAGCCACCCAGCTTCCCTAGCATTCCAACATGGTGTCTGGGAGGCCCAGCCAAGTCTTACTGTACATGGGCCACTGGGAGTAGCAATATGGTTGACTACTTGCAGTCAGACAGAAACCAAAAAAAGGGCGTTGGGTCAAAGAGTATAGTGACAAGTACATAAATCTTGATATTATCTCTCTATTCCTGCTGGGCTTTATAGTCAATCAGAAATATTAGTTAACTTCATGGCCACTTTTAAAACTGAGCTGGTGGCCCTCAGAAACACAGTATGAAGCTTAACCTAATTTGTTCTATAGAGATTCTAGTTTATACACACAGCCACAGTCCACACTCCACCAATAATTACCCAGACAAGGAATGCGCAACTCCATCCATTACAAAGAATCATAGAGACTGGAATTGCTGGACCCAGAAAGCCAAGGAGTAACTCCACTCATCCAAAATCCCTGCCTGATGACACCAGACAAGGACAGCCCAACACACATGCATTTTAGAAAAGCACAGTAACTCAATTTCCCTGACCTAACATATCAGACAAATACTAAGCCAAAAGCCCAAACCTATAGCTCCAATTTGACAAAGAGGAAGACTCAATGGTATATTTCTAAGAAACACAGTCTGTGGTGGTTTGATTAAAAATGATCTACATAGGTCCATAGGAAGTGGCACTATTAGGAGGTATGGCCTTTTTGGAGGAAGTATGTTTCAGTCACTTCCTGCTGCCTGCCAGTCTGGATGCAGAACTCTCAGCTCCTTCTCCAACACCATGTCTGCCTGCATACCACCATGCTCCCTTCCATGATGATAACTAACTAAACCTCTGAACTGTAAGCCAGCCCCAGTTAAATGTTTTCCTTTATAGGAGTTGCTATGGTCATGGTGTCTCTTCACAGCAATAGAAACTCTTAAGACACAGGCTCTGATCTCACCTGTCCCAAGAAGTACCTGGTCCTAAATCTTGAAACCAGTCTAAGACTGTCCAACTGTACTCAAATTCCTCTTCTGGAGAATATATGCTATGAGGCAATCAGACCAGAAGGTGCTTAAAAATCTAACAAGAAGCACTACCCAGCACATGAGCAAAGTCATCAGCCGAGCCAAGTAGCAGAGACCATGCAACAAGCTCTACTTACCTAATCATCACTTTGCCCTTCCAGAATCATAGGCTAAACTAAATAGTGGATGTATAGTCATGACCAATTACAAAAATACATAGACCAGACAAATGGACTGCCTCCCCAAACACATAAACAATACAAGGCATTAAGGATTATGAAGAATCAGGGATTTGGACTCACTTTTCAGGCCCAGCAGCAAGCAGAAAAATCACACGTTACTAGCCCAGGGTCTCCATTCTGCTGCCCTCTGGCCTCTGTGATTCCTGTACAGTCTCAGGTCCAAAACTACTGAGTCAGGTTAGGCGGCGGTGGCGCATGCCTTTAATCCCAGCACTCGGGAGGCAGAGCATGTGAAATTATCCTGAAATGCACCATTACAGTGAGATATTGTAAGTTAATGCCTTCACCAGGTATTTAGGAATTACCAAGTGGAAGACATAACAGCTTTTAGGTTAAAGAGCACATGAAGGATTCAATTTCCCTGACATGATGCAACTTTCTTGATTAAGAGCACTTAGCTTAATTTCAGATCACTGAACAGGGAGAGCAACACCCCAGCATGTTGTGACATGCTTGCAGGCTTGGGAGTATTCCTCCCAGCAGACTCTAGGGCAAGGGTGCAGAGGATGAAGTTTTAGAAGTTGACATCATGGTACCAAGATATTGAAACTCAAAATTAGCCAGTTTGCAAGGCCTGGGGGGTGTTATCCACTGCTTACTTGGTTTTAAGCTCTGCAGAACCAGGTCCTATAAAGGAAGCACTTCCAATAGATACCAACTTGAAGAATTTAAATTGGTCCTTATCTCCCACCCTGCATAAAAAGCAGTTCCAAATGAATTAAAGATCTCAATGTTAGATGTGAAACTGAAAATTCCAAAGGACAGAGTAGGGAGTACACTTAAGGCTAGAGTAAGGAATTTCTGAACAGGATCCCTCAAGAAGGAAATAGGGTCAAGGATCAACAAATGGGATTTCGTGAGATTAAAAGGCTTCTGTAATGCAAACTGTTAATCAACTAAAGAGGCAACCTATAGAACAGAAAAAAATAAAATCTTTGCCAGTCATTAGTATCTCGACTATACAAAGAACTCAAGAAACCAAACAAAACCAAACAAGCCCATTTAAAAATAGATTAATGAACTGAACAGAGAGTTCTGAAAAGAAGAAATGCGTATGGCTAAGAAATCATTAGTGTTAAACCTCTTTAGCTATCAAGTCAATGGAAATTAAAATGACATTGAGATTTCATTGTACACCAGTCAAAACGGCTATCATCACTTAAGAAAAACAGGTTTGCTTTGGCCGAAGGCTAACACAGTCCTGACCCTTCTGGACAGGAAATGTTCAGAACCTCAGAATCTCCTTCCAAAAGCCCGGGAAGTTTTGTCACTACAGATAATGACTATTTTGAGAATGTTGACAACATGTTTCACTGGGGCTGTGTTATTCTACATAAAGAACCCCCGCAAAAGGGAACCCCACTCCTCCTCCACACGCTCAGGAAAGCTCTGGAAAAATTCTGAAAGGGGCAGGGCAGCAGGTTGGTTCCACTCAGTGGGGCAACAGTATTTCCAACATTCCCAGTGCCGCATTCTCTCTTGGGGGCTCACCTTCTCGGAGTTGGAACCAAAGGAGGAACTCCAGTTGTGCAGCCCATCCCTGAGCTCCAAGATGTCCACCACACCATCCCCATTGCGGTCCAGGTCTTCGAAGAGGATCTCATAGGCCAGGCGGTCATAATCACTCTGGCAGGCCGCGGGGGGCAGCACGAAGCCCCGCAGCCAGCGCAGCATGGCCCCGCGGCGGCCGCCACGATCCTCCCGGGGCACCGCTCCCCCTGGGGCGACCGACGTCTGGGCTGCGCGCCCGCCGGCAGCAACCGCCTGAGACGCGAGCAGCGCCACGGTTCTTCCGCGGAACCCTGGCGAACCGGGAGCGCTGCCCGGTGGGAACCGGGGCTCCGCGCGCCACGCCGCGCACCCCCCCGCACCGGAAGCGGGACGCTGGGGCACCTGAGGCTGGGACCACCCGAGGCTGGGAACCGCCCAGCCCTGAAGGCGCCGTCGGAAGAAGTTGTGAGTGTGAAGTCCTGCGAAGGGCTGCAAAGGGCAGCACAGTTCCCGGTAAGTGTGCAATCTGCTCGCACAGAATTAGCAAGGAGAAGCTTCCCCGGGGCCTCTCTCCAAGGTCTAGGGTGTGTCACTAAGGGTCGATTCCCCTCTGTGGGCTGCTTGAAGAAGAAGAAGAAGAAGAGGAGGAGGAGGAGGAGGAGGAGGAGGAGGAGGAGGAGGAGGAGGAGGAGGAGGAGGAGGAGGAGGAGGAGGAGGAGGAGGAGGAGGAGGAGGAGGAGGAGGAGGAGGAGGAGGAGGAGGAGGAGGAGGAGGAGGAGGAGGAGGAGGAGGAGGAGGAAGAGAAGAAGAAGAAGAAGAAGAAGAAGAAGAAGAAGAAGAAGAAGAAGAAGAAGAAGAAGAAGACAGCCCCGTGAAACAGATTGGGCAGCCTGTTCAAAATCACCGTTGTCTACCCGGCCCAGGGAACCAGGACTTAATTTGTGCTGGTTCGTTCACTGTTTACTGTGTCTCACACTCGGGCCTTGAGTGAAGCGGCTGTGCCTCATGCTGAGGGGAGAGGGGTGCAAATGGAACTTTCCCCCCCTTGGTATCCGGGACCCTAAAGCCACCCCTCACTCTAAGAAGACCAGCAGGTAGGCATCAGCACCGTGTGGAGACTCACCCTACCTAGTCTGAAGAAGGAAGGGAACAGCCTGCCCTCCTATCCGTCCCCTGCTGCTGTCTCAAAGAAATGGTTTCCCATTGACCCATTTCCTCCTCCTCATTTCTCATTTCCTTCTGAAGAGACTGCGTTCAGCCGTTACCACCACCACCTACCTTATTGAACTTCTGTATCACAAAACTCAAGAGACCCTTTAAAGGCTTTGATTTATTAACCAGGTCTTATGGACACAGTGCTGGCCACGCTCTCCATCCTGAAACATTGCCTTTGTCTTCTGGGATACTACAAGCTATGGCCTCTCCTCTTTCTCTCTCTCTTATGCCCCCTTCCCAGGCTCCTTTGTGAGCCCGGGATCTTCTAAACATGAGGCCTTGAGGAATTGAAATAGATGCACTTAAAGATAGAAAGATAACTCAATAATCATTTCTGTGAAGCTGTGTGCCCTCTGGTCACATTCTCTGAAAGCTAGCAGGAGAGTATAGACCCAGTTTTTTGTTTTTAGTTTTATTTTTTATATGTGCAAGTGTATACTCTGTGTGTGTGTGTGTGTGTGTGTGTGTGTGTGTGTGTGTGTGTGTGTGTGTGTGCCAGCACATCCCAGAAGATGGTATAGGACACCCACACACGCACACCCCCAGAGCTGGAGTTACAGGTGGTTGTGGGCCTGAGAACCGAACTCTGATCATCTGGAAGAGCAACAAAAGCTCTTAATAGCTGATCCATTTTCCAACTCCCAAGACCTGTGTCTTTAAGTGAATTTTTTTTTGTTCAAGCCCAAATCTTACACCATGAAGTTCATTTATTTCTTAAAGTAGTACTGCTTTACATGTATTTTATGATGTTACTTATTTCGTATAAGTCTTTTTATACCACATGTTTCTAAATGCTAATAGTATAAATATAACGAAACATTGAACCTGCTCTCATAGAACACTCAACATCTAATACACTCTAGGGTGAAATGCACCTTAAGTGATGTAATAAATACGTGACCAAATCTCATAAAATATGTATTTGAATTGTATTACTTCATTGAATAAATTCATAAATTAACAATAAAACAAAGCTATTAAGAAAGCTGTAGAAAACATAAGTACTGAGCATTTATAATTATTAAAGACCATTTTTCTTTAAAAGGTAATTGTAAGAAACAAACAACATATTGTGGAGATTATAACATGTCAGAGCTAAATGTATGACAGTAATAAAACGGATATAAAGGAGAACATGGATGTATATGGCTAAAAACTCTTTGCAGGATATGTGATAAACATATTTTAAATACATACAAGCCAGCTGTGTTGGCTGCCTTTTAATCCCAGCAATCAAGAGCCTGAAGCAGGCCTATGAGTTCAGGGGTAGTTTGGGCTACATAGTGAAATTCTGAGATGCTATCAAAACAGAGAGGGGCAGGGAAGAGGATAGGAAACCTCAATAACAATATCAACCAATTAAGATTTCTAGAGCACTGTGTGCAACAATAACAGAATATCTATCTTTTTCCTTCACTTGCACATGTAAAGATCACCAGAAGGGGCTGGAGAAATGTCTCAGCGGTTAAGAGCACTGGCTGCTCTTTCAGAGGTCCCAGGTTCAATTCCCAGTGTCTACATGGCAGTTCACAACCATCTGTAACTCCAGCTCCAGGGGATCTTACACTGTTTTTCTGTCCTCCTCAAGCACCAGGCACATACATGGTGCATAGACATACATGCAAACAAAACCACATATATTTTTAAATTGTAACAACCGTGTATGGTACATAAAACAAGTGAATACATTTTAAATGATTGAACTTATACATCGTATACTCTGACTCCAGTAGAATTACAATAGAAATTAAGCACAAAAAGATAGAAGTACCAAAATATGGACAAATTAAATAACATTATTTTTAATGACATGCTAAGAATTTGAAATCACAAAGGGATTTATAAAATATTTTGAAATCTTAAAGGGAAACGACAACTCGACCTACTACAGCAGATACATCAGAATAACATGCAGTCTTCCATGGCAACCCTAAAAGCTAGGAAATCATGAAACAGCGTATTCCAACCCTGAAAATAAATAACTGCCAACTAAGACTGCCATAGCCAGCAAAGCTGTCTTTTGAACCTGATAGTGAAATAAGACGTTTAAAAGCAGACATAGACTAGAACAATTCATGACCACCCAGCCAGCACTGTGGCAGAATCTTAAAGAGATGCTATACACAAAGACACAGAGAAGGAATCCTAATTACAATACCACAAGAGTGAGTAAATGTCATGAGGGGAATGGATAAACAAAAGAGACCTTAAAAGGAATCCATTATGTCAACACACTAAACCAGCAAACCCCTAATACTAACAGAAGAGAGATAAATGAATAAACAGTATCCTTCAAAAGGAGTAACAACCAATAAAATCACAGGAATTAGTAAATGACCCCTAACTGTTAAATCGCAATGGTTCCAAAGTACCACCAAACAGGTACAGACTGGCTGACCAGATTCAAAGACTAGGGCCTGCAAGATAACCTGGTGAATAAAGACACTTACTCCTGGTGACCTTAGTTCCTAGAACCCATGTAAAAATCTGACTCCACAAAGTTGTTCACTAGCCTCCACATCCATGCTACACATCATACACAAAAAATAATAAAGTTTTTTAAAACTAAATTCAACTACCTCTTGTCTCCAAGAAACACACCTACAGACTAAAAGTCAAACAATAGACTCCAATCTATCAAGCAAGCAAAAGCCAAAAACAGGCTAGTTGTAACTATCATGATATCTGATAAAGTAGACTTCAAAATTAGAAGAAATGACTACTACATACTAATAAAAGGAATTCCTATCAAGAAGACATAATGCATGTAAATATATGTACACTGAATGGTGGGGCCCCTCATTTCAAAAACTAAACACAATGAAAAGTGAAAGACTTATATGACAAAAACTTCAAGTCTTCAAAGAAAGAAACTGAAGAAGATATCAAAAGATGAAAAGATGTCTCATGCTCATAGATTGGTAAGATTAACATAGTAAAAATGGCCATCTTACCAAAAGCAATCTACAGATTCAATGCAATCCCAATCAAAATTCCAACACAAAATTCTTTACAGACCTTGAAAGGACAACACTCAACTTTATATGAAAAAAACAATAAACCAGGACAGCTAAAACAATCCTGTACAATAAAGTAACTTCCAGGGGTATCACCATCCCTTATTTCAAGCTATACCACAGAGCTGTAGTAATAACACACGTTATTGGCATAAAAACAGATTCCTTGATCAATGGAACCAAATTGAAGAAGACGAATGTAAATCCACGCACCTATGGACACCTGACTTTTGATAAATAAGTTCCCGGGCCAAAGCTGCCACACCCACTTTCACTACATTGCCCACTCAGGCTTCTGCTGCTGCTGCCACTGCTCACCCTGGCCCCTCATGCCTCACAGACCCTCTGCCACAGCTGTTGCAGCAGATTTGGTGAGACACCTGGGAAGTCCAAAGAGCATCCTTCCCACAGTAAGGATGGGAAATGTCACAATGCAGGGGGTTAGGACTCTGTAGAGTGCCCCAATGGATGGCTTGAAAATAGAAAAATTAAATGAAAGGATAACTGACTTAGCTGGAGTTGACATAGTGCTGCTTATAATTACTATTAGCTTGGTAATACATATTTTATCCTTTAAAAAGTGGTTTGGTAACTGTGACAAATATGAAAAGTTGTCTGATAAGATACAAGCCTTAAAAAGACTTATTAGAAAATAAGAAAAATACTCAGACACAGACAGAGGAATTTAGACAAGAACGTACCACACCACTGCATGATGAAACTGAAGAGGGGCAGCTTAGGGGTTTTAGGAAACCAACCTTAGTTTATCCAGTTACTATACAAGAACAACCAGCAGAGCATAGGCACCCCTGAAATTATACAGAAGCTAAATGGAATCCTATAGAAATATTAGATTTGAGGAGATGTAAGGAAGCAGTCGTTTTATATGGTATGCATTGACCTTATGTGAAGTAGATGTTAAATTCATGGGCAACTCATAACAGAATTATCCTGAAGACTGGAAAGAATTTAGCTACAGCAATTTTGGGAACTGGTCCTTGGTTACACTGGCAAACATGGTGGCCAGAGGAAGCTAGGGTATTAGAACAACAAAATAGGACTAAAGGCATTAATACTTCCCAAGACCAGCTTCTAGATGAAGGCCAATATGCTGAGTTGCAAAGACAGTTCAAATTGATGATCCCACTTCAGCCCTATGTCATTTAGCAGCCTTAAATGCTTGGGACAAGGTTAAAGAATCAGGAAAGAGAGCTGAGTCATTTACTAAAATTATGCAAGGCCCAAAAGAAGCCTTCACTGATTTTTTGTCAAGATTGACTT